AGTATATTTCTCTCTCTCTCTCTCTCTCTCTCTCTCTCTCTCTCTCTCTCTCTCTCTCTCTCTCTCTTCATGATGTTATTGTGATGATTTAAAATAGTTTTTGGGGGAAACAATTCTAGTTCCCTCCAAAATTTTCTAATGGCGTCAACATCGACGGTAATATTTTTCCAGCGTTTGTTCATGAGGTGAAGAAAAAGTCATGGAAAAAACTAGTATTTTTTGGCAGAATATTTGTAAGGAAACGACGAAAAAGTTTCACCGTCGGGAAGAAAACAGCGTTAGTTCATCGGTGGAATACTTGTAAGGAAATCGATGACTTGAGATTAAAATAGAATATGTAAATTTATATATTATTACTATTTCACGATAATAAATTTGTTGTTAAGCTTATGAGTTGATGGTGAATGGAGGTTACGGGTTGATGGTGAATGGAGGTTGCGAGTTTGTTGTGAATGATACGTGTTAGTTGTGAAGATTACGCGTTAGTTGTGAAGGTGTTACGGTTTGGTTATTAAGGTTACGGATCGGTTAAGGTTAATGATTAGTTGTTAAGGTTACAGATCGGTTGTTAAGGTTATGTGTCAGTTGTTAAGGTTATAAGTCAGTTGTTAAGGTTACAGGTCAGTTGTTAATGTAATGGGTTGGTTATGAACCTCGATAACTTGAGATTAAAATAGAGTATGTAAATTTATATATTATTGTTATTTCATGATAATAAATTTGTTGTTAAGCTTATGAGTTGGTGTTAAAGGGAGGTTACATGTTGGTTTTGAAGGTTACGAGTTGGTTGTGAAGGATACGAGTCGGTTGTAAAGGTGTTACGAGTTGGTTGTTAAGGTTAAGGGTCGGTTGTTAAGGTTAAGGGTTGGTTGTTAAGGTTACGAGTCGGTTGTTAATGTTATGCGTTGTGAAGGTTACGCGTTGGTTGTTAAGGTTACGGATTAGTTGTTAAGGTTACACGTTGGTTGTTAAGGTTACAGGTTAGTTGTTAATATTACGGGTCGGTTGTTAAGATTACGGGTCGGTTGTTAAGGTTACGGGTCGGTTGTTAATGTTACAGGTCAGTTGTTAAGGTTACAGAAGTTACCGAGGTTCACAACCAACCCGTAACCTTAACAACTGACCCGTAACCTTAACAACCGACCCGTAACCTTAACAACTGACCCATAACCTTAACAACTAATCTGTAACCTTAACAACTAATACTTAACCTTAACAACCGACCCATAACCTTAACAACCAACCTGTAAGACCTTTACATATATCCGGTAAAGAGATCAATTTCTAAATGAAGCCGAGCCTTTAATTCGTCTCCCACTAAAAGCATCCTCTCCAACAACAAGATTCGTTGATGACGGAGCCACCGCCATCGCTAACGACGACGGAGACATCATAGAAGGTGGCATGGTGCCCACGAGTCAGCTGATCTGGCAAGGCTGCAGGTTGAGATCCAGCGACACCGGCATCGACGTCAGAGGCAACGACGGCGGATTCACGCAGAGATGGGGCGGGAAATCATCACAGATAAAAAAAAAGAGAGAAAGGGTATTATGGTCTTCACATGTTTAAAACTCTTGAGTTTTGTGTTTTGGGGGCTCAGAGAATAATGGGTTTACTTTTGGGGGTTTTGGGAGCGTTGAAAAAGTCTTGGGAGGGGGTGGAATAGTTGTTAGGAAATTGGGGGCCAGAACAATTGCCCCTTAGTTTAAATTCGAGTTGTTTCTAAGAATATTTTAGGAAAGGATAAGTATTTTAAACCCATATTTTCCTAATTATATATCTTTCTACAAAAGTTCAAGTATCATCATGTATCCTATTTTTTTTCATTTTAAATGATTAAATAGTATAAAATATTAAAGACTATTTCATTTTAAATTTATTAAATAGATTTCTATTTATTTTAAAGTTAATATATTTAATATGAAATATACTAGATAACTAAAAAATATATTTAATCCATTTAATATTTAATATTTTCTTAGTT